CTGTTGGATCACAAGTGCAGGAACTTCAACTTATTTTTCATGATTTGATTGCTGAGGATATGGTAGTAAATGAAGTTTTCAAATGGCTGCAATGATCGAGAAGTTGCCACCTTCGTGGAGCGACTTTAAGAATTATCTAAAGCACAAACGTAAGGAAATAAAGCTTGAAGATCTTGTGATTCGGCTCAAGATTGAGGAAGATAACAAGACCGCCGAAAAGAAGTCTTGTAAGAGTTCGACAATAATTGGAGTTAATATTGTTGAAGAAGCTCCTACTAAAGGCAAGAAAAGAAAGAAGTCCAATAGACAGAACTCAGAATAGGCCAAGAAGAAATTCAAGTGCAACTGTTACAACTGTGGTAAGGCTGGTCACAAGTCTTCTGATTGTCGTGCTCCAAGAAAGGACAAAGGCAAAAGTCAAGCAAATATCGTGGAAGAGATGGAAGATGCAGATGACCTCTATGCAATGATCTCGGAGTGCAACTTAGTTGGAAATCCCAAGGAGTGATTTCTCGACTCAGGTTCCACTCGACATATTTGCTCTGCGAAAGAAGCCTTTGCAACGTACACTTCTGCTGAGTTCAATGAAGATTTGTTCATGGGGAACACAACAACAAGGATTGCAGGAACTGGGAAAGTTATGTTGAAGATGACATCCGGCAAGGTGTTGACTCTAAACAACTTTCTGCGCGTTCCTACTATTAGGAAGAATTTAGTTTCTATTGCACTGCTTGTTAAGAACGGGTTTAAGTGTGTCCTAGTTAGTAACAAAGTTGTAATAAGTAAGAATGAGATGTTCTTAGAAAAGGGCTACCTCACTGAGGGCCTCTTCAAATTGAATGTAATGGTTGTTGACAGTACTAATAAGAATTTTGCTTCTGTTTACTTATTGGTAGTCAAATGATTTATGGTATGCCCGTTTGGGTACATGTAAATTACAAAGCCTTGCGAAAATTGATTACTTTACAAATATTGCCTGCTTTCAAATGCGATAAATCGAAAGGCGAAATTTGTGTAGAAAGTAAGTTTGTTAAACATCCTTACAAGTCTGTTGACAGGAATCCAAAACCTTTAGACTTAATTCACACAGATATATGCGATATGAAGTCGACACCATCTCGCGGTGGGAAAAAGTATTTTTATAACTTTTATTGACGATTGCACTCGATTTTGTTATGTATATTTGCTTAATAGTAAGAATGAAGCAATTGATGCATTTAAGCAATACAAAAATGAAGTGGAAAATCAATTAAATCTAAAGATAAAAATGATTCGGAGTGATAGGGTGGAGAATACGAATCTCATTTTGCTGAGATATGTTTGAAATATAATATTATCCATCAAACTACTGCACCCTATACACCACAGTCAAATGGCTTTGCTAAACGGAAGAACAAAACATTAAAGGAAATGATAAATGCCTTGATAATCAATTCTGGTTGACCAAGAAATCTATGGGGGGAAGCCATCCTTACGGCTAACAAGATACTCAATAAGGTACCCTATAGCAAAACACAATCAATTCCATATGAGTTATGGAAATGAAGGAAACCCAACTTGAAATATTTCAAAGTGTGGGGGTGTCTAGCCAAAGTAGAGGTTCCTTTACCCAAGAGGGTGAAAATTGGACCCAAAACAGTGGATTGTGTATTTATTGGATATGATGTGAACAGTAAGGCCTGGCGGTTTTTGGTTCAAAAATATGATAATCCTGAAATTCATGTGAATACGATAATGGAGTCAAATAACGCTGAGTTCTTTGAACACATTTATCCGTATAAAATTAAATGTGAGTCGACAAGTGAAAGACCTAAACGACCACAGAAAGAATCAATGGAAAATACACTACCTAATGAGGATCCTAGGCGTAGTAATCGCCAACGGAAATCCACTTCTTTCGAACCAAATTTTGTGGCATTCTTGCTTGAAAATGAGCCTCCAACATTTAAAGAAGCTATATCTTCATCTGAGAGATTGAATCAATTTTAAGTAATCATACTTGGGAATTGGCTGATCTTTCTCCAGGAAATAAACCTTTAGGATCAAAAGTGGATCTTTAAAAGGAAAATGAAAGCCGATTGGACTATTGACAAATATAAGGCTAGACTTGTAGTCAAAGGATACAAATAAAAGGAAGGTCTGGACTACTTTGATACATACTCTCCAGTAACAAGGATAACATCAATTAGGATGTTAATAGCACTAGCGGCAGTGCATGATCTTAAAATCCACCAAATTGATGTAAAGACAACCTTTTTAAATAGAGAGTTGGAGCAAGAAATTTACATGGAACAACCTGAAGGGTTTGTGACTCCTGGTAAAGAAGAGAAAGTGTGCAGACTTATGATGTCGCTTTATGGGCTCAAGCAAGCACCCAAACAAGGGCATGCTAAATTTGACCAAACAATGTTGGCAAATGGATTCAAGATTAACGAATGTGATAAGTGTGTTTACATTAAAAACGTTCCAAATCATGAAGTCATTGTTTGTTTGTATGTTGATGACATGTTAATAATGAGTAAAAATATTGACGATATAAATGCTACTAAACGCATACTATCCAGCAAGTTCGATATGAAGGACTTAGGAGTTGTTGATTTGATCTTAGGGATCAGGATTCTCAAAACTCATCAGGGACTAGCATTATTAGAGCATGCTATCCATCAAGTTCGATATGAAGGTCTTAAGAGTTGTTGATTTGATCTTAGGGATCAGGATTCTCAAAACTCCTCAGGGACTAGCATTATCTCGATCTTATTATATTGAAAGAGTATTGGATAAGTTCAAGTACTTGAATTTCAATGTTGTCAAAACTCCAATTGTTTTAAGCTTTACATTTCAAAAGAATGTAGGTGCAAGTGACTCTCAATTGGAATATGCCAGAGTGTTGGGAAGTTTCATGTATATTATGAATTGTATGCGACCAGATATAGCATGTGCTATTAGCAAACTGAGTCGGTTCACTAGTAAATCTGAATCAAAACTCACTGGATGGCAATGAAACGTGTGTTAGGGTATCTGAAACATACACAACACTATGATTTGCATTATAATAAATATCCTGTTATGATTGAAGGATGTAGTGATGCAAATTGGATCACCGGGTCAAATGAAGTAAAATCGACAAGTGATTATGTGTTTACACTTGGTGGACGAGCAATCTCTTAGAAATCGTCCAAACATACATGTATCACTCGCTCCACCATGGAATCTAAATTTATTGCTTTAGATAAGGCTGGTGAAGAAGTTGAATGGCTTCGAAATTTCTTAGAGGATATTCCATTCTGGCCCAAACTTGTGGGACCTATTTGCATACATTGTGATAGTCAAGCAGCAATAGGTAGGGCAGGGAGCGTCATGTACAACGGGAAGTCTCGTCATATACGACGGAGACATAACACCGTAAGACAACTGGTCTCTAGTGGAATTATCACAATTGACTATGTGAAGTCAAGCGATAATATGTCAGATCCACTAACAAAAGGCCTAGTGAGAGTGGCAGTTGAAAGATCATCTAAGGAAATGGGTTTACGACTTAGGACAAGTCAGCATGGTGGTAACTCTATCTAGCAGACTGGAGATTCCAAAAGCTAGATTCAAGGAGAAAAACAAAGTTGTGACTAACGGTTAGACATTGTCAATCAACTCAATCCATTCTCATGATAAAGACAATGTTCAGGAACAAGGTTAAGACTTTAAGGCTTGTTAATGAGTTAATAAAGCTTAAAGTTTTTAATGATTTGCTAAGTTTGGCAGATTTGACCAAATAGTGTATCTACGAGATGACACGGTTAGAAATCACCTATGTGAGTGTAAAGTGTAAGCCGCTTCAAAGAGAATTTTATGTCAAAAGTCTATTCTCTATACACTCATGAAACCAGGAGGTGTTCATGGCTAAAACGAACACAATCATAAGAACCATAAACGGTTAATTGTGTGACATATGGTTGTCTAGGTATACACCAAAGCTCGACGATTCAAAGATATCGCATCTACCGATTGACCGAGTATATCCGACATATGTTCACTATGGAAAGTTCAAAGGGAAAACTACTTATCCAGATGCAATTAATTCTTGCTTGTAAAGTACACAAGATGCAATTGATCCTTGCTTGTAAAGTACACACTTGTCCGTGCATTTCTTATGTTATAACCATTCCCCATTCATGTGGGGGATTGTTGGGTATAAAACAAGAGTTAATAGGAAATGGAGGGAACTTGAAAAGTTGGGAACTTGAAAAGTCCTCTTATGCTTTAGTCAAAAAGGCATTTCTCCCTCATCGGTGGTGGAAAGAAAAATAGAAGAGTTTAAATAGAGAAACACTTCTATTAATTGTTAAAATGGTTGGAAAGAGGGACCCCCCTCGCGCCGTCGTCGTCGCTCGACTCAGCTTTGGCTTCGGAAAATGATTGATTGAGAGATTATTTTTTAGACAAAGTTTGTTTTAATTATTTAGTTAATTATTTATTTAATTAATTAAACTAAATTAAATGGCCAAAACGTTTCAATTAATTAGTTAATTAACCGAAACATTCCGACCCGACTCGGATCCGCGCGCGACCCGTTTTATTTAAATTTCCCACCGTTGGAAATGACTGTTCTGAAAGGTTGCAACTTTCAGGAACAACCATGACTGTTTGGAAGGTTGCAAACTTTCATTAATGGTCGTGTGGATTTTGAAAGGTTGCAACCTTTCAGAATCAGTTCCTCTTGGCTATAAATACCAGTTATTCTTCAGAATCTTTTACTTACGGAAATTTTTGGTTTCTTCTTCTTCTTCTGCACAAATATTTTTTCGTGTACTTTACTGTCGTTGAGTGGTTCGCTGACACTAGCGTTTTGGGTATCAATACACTGGTGATTGAGATAATTCTATCCTGGAGGACATATTCCAAATCAAACCTTGGATACTAGAGGGGAATAATTTCTTTAAGGGGACATTGTGCATTCCGTGGGCTTGATCATTTTCCGTTCTGTCTTTTACAAATTCTGGTATGTTTTACAAATTTTAGTTTTTGTGAATTAATTTTTGTTCTTCTGTTCTTACTGGTTTATTAAACTTTGATAACTTCGTGTTTCTGCAAAGTTTGTTGAAATCAGTAATTCTATTTTAAACACAGATTGGCAACACATCATTCATAACTTAAGGATAACGGGTCTACCTCTATACTCTTTTCTACTTACATAAAAAATTTAATTCACTTGTCAAAGGGCTTGAACTGGTGACCTAAGTCACAAGTCCCTTAACTTTTGCCGTCAAAGTTAAGCCCGGGGAAGCAATTCATAACAAAGGTTTATTATTAAAACTAAATAAGTATGAGCACTTGAAATCCACCAATCACCCACATTTCTGCTAGACATATTTAGTTATAAGCTCATACTGTTATTTATTAAGATAATAATAATTGCAATATCCTTTCAGAAAGGGAAAAAAACCCCAACAAATATGGTTAACTTCACTTAAATCAGATAGTCTGCAGAGCCATTTAGATGTCCACCATGAAATTAAAGAAATGCCTCTAAATAATCGAACAAAAATTGTCAAACTTAACAAAATCTTAATTCAACTCTGGCTAAGCAAGCTGACAAAATTCTAATCAGCACATGATTGGAACTAATACTTTCCAAAATGTGTATGAATAGCAGCTGCAACAGCATATGTTTCACATAAAACCAATAGAATAAAACTAACTAAATTCAACAATAAAACATTAAATTCATTGTAAATTAAAGCAAAAAAAATTTGTCACTTTACCATTTCCCCAAGGTTCGCCATCAAATCAAAACTAAATTACAGGAGTTAAAGGAAATTATCACACATGCTGCCGCGCGCGATATTTCAATGTATATGGATCAATCTCAAGTGAACAATCAAAATGACTATGAACCTTATGCTTCCCTTT